TCGGTAGCTTGCCGGGCTCTCCGAGAGGGACGGAGGAATTGAACTGGGGTCGGCCATGTTAGCTGCGTACTAACATGGCCGACCCCAGTTCGATTCCTCCGTCCCTCTCGGAGAGCCCGGCAAGCTACCGAGAGTATCTTGCCCGCACGGCAGAGCCGGGCAAGCTACCTGTGATGTATTCGATATGCCAAACACAGTAACAACAAAAGTCTCCAATGGAGACGTTACCGGGCCCGCATGAGCAAATCGATGAACAATGGGAGGACAGTGACAGTGACTGAGGGTTATAATTTTAACGTACACTTTCTTTTTTTCTTTTTTTTTAGGGGTTGAGGGAGAGGTAATTTCAGTTACGACAATAGTTCTTCTGTTTGAGTGAACAGAGGCAAACTGAATGTATCAGTTCAGAATAGGTGCCATCAGAGCTAAAATTGCAATTACACTTTGCACAGTGTATTTGTGTTGTCTGACAGCTAAGAAATAGAAATACATTTTCTTTGTTTTTTATTGAGTCACTGTGAGATATAGTTGCAGAGCTTTTATGTTTGTGTTTCAGTCATACAATGATCGAACACCCATCCTTCCACCAGTGTACATTTTCCACCACCAATCCCCAGTATCCTTTCTGCCCTGCCTCCACCTCTCTCCCTGATTCCATGGCAAACACTTTCCTTCTTACTCTCTCTCTCCTTTTCGACATTATGGTTTGCAACACAGATACTGAGAGGCCATCATGTTTGGTCCTTTATCTATTTTCAGCACACATCTCCCATCCTGAGCAATCCTTCCAACCATCGTTGACTTAGCGATCCCTTCTCTATCCCAGCTGCCTTCTCCCCCCAGCTTCTGAGGCAGGCTTCCAGCATGGAGCGATCTTCTTGTCCCTTGTCTCCACTGTCCTTGGGGTTAATCTCATGTTATTTTGTAACCCACAAATGAGTGCAGTTACTCTGTGTGTGTCCCTCTCTTTCTGACTCATTTCACTTAGCATGATACTCTCCATGTCCATCCACTTAGAAGCAAATAAATTTTCTTCTTATACTAAGAAATTAAACAAGATGGGAAGAAGATAAAGTAAATCGGGGTGGTGGGGGAAAGGGGGAGACAAACCCTTCTTTGGTGTTTCCTTTGTTGTGCCGTGATTCCGTGTTCCAAAGCTGATTTATCTGATAGACAGGTAACACTGCAGCAAGTGTTTCCTCTGCGTGTTTGGGTGGAAGTGTATCTTTGAGGCAGACAGATCCTTTCGTCTCTGGAGTTCTTCTGTGGGTCTTGTCCTGCTCCTTGAAGAGTGAACTTTCCAATCCCCATTGAGTAATAGGTTCCACGTGTTGTACAGTGTGTAGGAAGGGAATGGAAAGAGTTGGGGGAGGGAGCAAAGCTGCCGCAGTGGCAGAGAGAAGGGAAGTGGGCCAAAGATAATAATATCTAAGGAATAATTTCCTGTAGAAAAATGGACAATCAGCCATGAGAGCAAAGGAAGTGCAAACCAAAATAGATACAAGCAATACTGTACCTTTGGAACACTTGCCTCTATACCCAAGTCACATCTTAGGAAGCTGATACCCAAGTAGCATCCTAGTAAGCTGTTTGAGATCCGAGTAAGAGAGGCCCTATTGACTTTAAATGAAGGATGAATTAGTGTTAATAGGCAGAATGATTTAGGATTAGCTGCTTCTCTTTATATTATCTTCCACTAGAGGAGGGCTAAGTGCCTTGGAAAAGTGATGGGATGCAACCTTCCAGGACAGCAGACAGGGAAAAGATCTGAAGAGACATTCTTCCCTGTGAATACTGCCACCAGGTTTGACATGAGAACGCTTTATTACTGGACTGCTTAGAAGGAAAAGTATCAGCCTTCCTCTCCAAAGAATGGTCTTTCAAAAATTATTTCTTTGTTTACTTGGGTTCTGGACCACTTCACCTGGCGATGCCCAGGGCTTACTCCAAGCTCTGCACTCAGAAATCACTCCTGGTGGTGCTCAAGGGTCCCTGTGGGATGCCGGGGATCAGACCAGGGTAAGATGCAGGCACGGCAAGTGTCCTCCTTGCTGTACTATTGCTCTGGTCCTCAGAAGATTATTTCATATAGAGTAACTCCAAAGGACTTTAGTCATCTGTGAAGGAAAGATTTCATTATGAGTCTTTGCTGACCACTGGCCTGTCACCCGTTCCTTAATTTAGGAGAGTGACCTCTGTGTAAGGACCGTTTAGCCACTCTTAACAGCTCCAAATGGAATTTGGGAGTTCAGTGCGCCAGGGCCAGTCACAGGGGACATTGTGGCACCATGCGCTCGGATCAGACTCTCCAGTGTAGAGCTCTTGGATACATGGGTCTGGGCACATGTCTTAGCCCAAGGACGGGCCCGAGTCCCTCCTCCCAGCTCAGCTAAAGTTAGCACAGACCTTGGTGCTTGCCAATTTGCCAAACAAGATGGAAGAATAACAGGGTAGGGTAAAGTTTGTTTGCTATTATTATTAAGAGTTGCCTAATTAGAAAAGGAGAGGTGGGCTGCAGAGATGGTACAGCTGCCAAGGCACGCACCTTGCACGTGTCTCACCTGGGTTCGATCCCTGGAACCTTTATGGTTCTCAGAGCACTGCCAGGAGTAATCCCTGAACATGGAGGCAGGCGAAAGCCCTGAGCACTGCTGAGTGTGTCCTCCACTCTCCCCTGTAAGTTTTCATTATAAAAAAATGGAAAGGTGCAAGGGTTGTGATGGTGGGCTCGTGCAGAGGTAGGATGCAGGATGTTTGGTGGCCAAGAGCTGCCTCCCCAGGCTGGACGACGGGGGAAGGAGCAGGGGAAAGGAGAATGGAGGAACAGGAACTGGGCTGCAGGCTGGTCCGTAGTCAGTTTATTTCTCTCTCCTCCCATTTCTCTCTTCTCCCCTGTGTCGTCTGATCTCTCCCTTTATAGCACAGTCATAGTTGTCACTTTGGCCGTAGTCCCAGTTATCAGAGTTTCAACATCCTAGTCTTCTCAAAGACCTCAAAATCGCCAAAGTCTTAGTTCTCCTCCTCGTCTTTAACATCTCGTCGACCTTCTCATCCTCAATGTCTAGTCCTCAGTGTCCAGTCTTCAGCTTTTTCCCAACATCTCCTTCTCAGCATCTCCTTCCCAGAGTCCAGTCCCGGAGTCTTGTTTCAGAGTAGTTCTGTTTTCCTTCCCCAGTGTCTAGTCTTTTCTTTCTTCATTTCTTTTCTGTTCTATTCTTACTTTGTCCTCAGCATCTTCAACAATTCTCCCATCCAGAGTCTAGTCTACCTCCTACAAATCTCTCTACCACACCCTTCTTACCCGTTACAGCATAGTTATCTAGGGATCATTGCTTCTTTTTGCGTCATGACAGTGTTTGTCTTGCTCTTAACTTATAGTTATGTATTGTGGCGCTTGGTCTGGCCCATTTTGATGCCAGGGTAGCACACAGCTTGCCCTGTGTCCATCAGTCCCTCGTCGTGACCCTGCTCTTGGAGTGCTAGGAACTAAGTAAATATGGATGCCCAGGAATAAATATTATTTTGAAGTCAGTTAACTTCCATGTTGCATAGCATAGCATCAACTGTCTTCCTGTGTCTGTAAAAAAGGGCATTGTTAAATAAACCATACAAATGGAAAGAGAAAAGCAATTTAGGATTATTAGTGTCTGATGTAATTGTGTGTGCCTCAGTGGCACTGCTGTGGGAGTGGCTCAATAAACTGTAAGCTCCCTGCAGGAGCAGCAAAGACCACACAGTTGTCCAATACTTCCCCAAATGAAAAAAAAAAGAGAGAGAGAGAAAAAAAAGAAAAGGAGAGGTGAAAATTCGTGAGACTGAGACTGTTTAGTAAATCAGGGTATATTCATTTAGAGACTGGATAACTAAATACAGACTATGACAAATCAAATAGAAGGTAGAGTAAAGAAAGTATGTCTTAATCTATCTTGTAGTAGAAATAGACCAGGGCCAGCAGAGGGGACTTCTAGGCTCATGAATTGGTAGAGAGATGTTCAGCTTAAAATATGCAGTTGAGCTGAACTTGTAATTGAGGTGATGCACCTGGTCCTTCCAAGCCCCGTTCAGGCCTTATTAGAACCCTTTCTTTGGGCTGAGATTTGGATATGAGACAAAAATGTTTGAAACTTGGAAATGAGCCAGGAAAGCCAAACTACAGTCAGGCCAGCATATGGACTCTGAAAGATCCCAGGACCATTGATCTAAGTTGTGCAGGGGCTAAAGGTGGTCACATCAGTAGTTCTAAAGTATCTGAAGGCATGCTGTGAAGTTTGTGGTGGACAGATGTTCTCCCTTTTCACAAAGACAAGACTCAGCAGCTAATGTTTTTCCCTTTAATCTGAGGGAGTCATTAGAATTTACAAAAACATCTTAACTAACGAAGTAGGACTAGGGAATCTTTCATTGAAGGATCCTAAGTGTTTAGTTTTGAAAAAGGTAGGAAGAGCACAGAAATACCATTAGTTGCTGGCTGACCTAAATGACTGTCTTTGATTTGACACTGCCCGTTAGACCGCAGACCAACAGCTTCCTTTCCTCCATTCATAGCTGGTTGTCTTTCTAACCACACCCTGTGCATGGTTTTGTACTTGGCATCAGGACACTGGGTTGGAGCTCTGAGTTTCAGAGTGTGATGGAATATTGATATATATATTTTTTCTCTTAAGGTGGTGAGCGCAGAGGGTGAGAGTTTAGTTGTTAGTGTCAGACCTGGTTTTGAATGCTGGCTGCTGCTGTGAATTCTGAGGCGAGTTTCTTAACCTCTCTGAATATGCTTTGCCAAGATTAAAGTGGAGATAACAGGGATGCTGTTGTGAGAATTTGGTCAGAAAGGGCATAGGAAGTTCTGGTGCTTGGCCTGTCTGTAGTGCTCAGCAAACAGTTGCCATTATTAATACTTGACTCTAGCCAGACTTTTAAACCAGAGCTGGGGAACCAGGCGACGCTGCATGAAACCTCTTTAACCCACTTACATGGCCTCTACCCTTCTTCCTTCATTCCAGCTGCTGGCGTTCTTGCAAGGACTCTTCACTTTCTATCACCATGGCTATGAACTGGCCAAGGACTTCAGCGACTTCAAGACGCAGCTGACCATAAGCATACAGAATGTGAGTGGGCAAGGGGGCCGATTTCTTTTCTCTGGTTAAGGCAGCGTTAAAACTGAGTGTGGTTTTGGTGGCACAGAGATCTCTTCTGTGGCGTAGAAAGCCCCCAAGAAGGCTGAGACTCGCTTGGGTTCAGAGGGCATCTGGGGGCAGGCCTTTCTGGGGTGCTTGGTAACCCCAGGTTAGCGCATTATCCTCTTCCCCATTATTTCAAAACTCTATTTTTGTTCTCGGAAGTGCTGCTGTTGATTATGTTGTAGATCTGTGGCCCTGGAGTCAGGATTTCCTTTGGCAGTGGAAAGGCCGGCCCAGCCCAGCTTCCCTGTCATGCCTCTAGCTGCCTGTGCACCGGAGACCTTGGAGTGTGTTTAGACAGAGGGGGTGGGGCACCTCTGTGTGGCCTCTGGCTCAAAGGATGTGCTCTCGTTCAACTCTGAGGAAGGCTAACAGGAAGCCCCAGTCACTGTGATTTACTGCCAATCTCCTTTCTCAGATTTGAAACTGCCGGACCTTTGGGTGCTCAGTATTGTGTTTAGGGCTGCTTGGTCCGCAGTGGCAGGGGCGTCTTCAATGTGTGGAACCAGGCCAGTCTGCGTGTTGCCTCGGATTCTGGATGATCCCATGTAGAAAAGAATCCCAGCGTGTCTCTTGGTGTCAGCCCTGCAGCCTGCAGCCTGCAGCCTGCCCTGGCAGGGCCCTCTGTTGCCAGAGAACTAGAAGCTTCCTTGGTTCAGAGCAGGGCACTCCACACCTGGTTTCCGTTGAGGCTGGATTCCTCTGACACTGAGGGGGTTACAAGGGAGCAGTACTGGCTGTCCTGTGAGAGTGTCAGGCAGCAGGGCCGCTGCTGGGAGACATGAGGCTGTGCTCCGGAAGCCTCGGGCAGGGCCACAGAGAAGCAGGGTGGACCTGGGCCACACGCAACAGGGTGGACCTTGAGACTGGCCAAGCTTTTGGTTCTTAACCTTTTTTGCTACTGGCCCCCACTAGTTATTGGATGCAGGCTGCCCCGGGAAAGGGTAAATTGGAAGAAGTAGCTCCCTTTGTGTGGTGGTGGTGGTGGCGGTGGGGAATTGGGCCATACTCTGTGCTCTGGGTTACTACTGACTCTGTGTTCAGCTATCACTCCTGGCAGTGCTCCAGGGATGATATGGGATGCCGGGGATTGAACCTGGGTTGCCCTGGGTGCAAGACAAGTGCTTTACTCTCTGTGCTTTCTCTTCAGCCCCAAGCTGCTTCTTATAGAGAAAGGAATCAACTGTGGGCTGCCAGCCACATTCCCTGCAGAAATAATCACCCAGTCCTAAGTCAGAACATGCCTGTTTCAAATAGAAATTTCTGGGTCCAGACGTACCATCTTGATTTTGGAGGCTGAAGCCTGGACATTTGCACTTTTTTAAAAAAAAATCAGTTCCCAGGTGATTTTGATGCTGAATTTGAGAGTTAATCTGGTTCAACATTTTAAGACCAACGTGGACTTCTTGAAAGCATCTGTCTGTCTAGTTTCTAGATGACTGAATGCCACTTACCTGGTTTTGGATCTGAGGACTCTGTGGGATTAAATTGTTCAAAAAGGTAACAGGATTTTATTAGACTTGAATAAAATATCTTTCATCCTAGACAAGAAACCGCTTTGAAGGCACCAGATCGGAAGTGGAATCATTGATGAAAAAGATGAAAGAGAATCCCCTTGACCACAAAACCATCAGTCCCTACACCATGGAAGGATACCTCTATGTTCAGGAGAAACGTGAGTGCCTGAGGATCAACAGCTTGGGCTGTGCTTGTTCTGTTGCTCAGAAGGAGGAAGGAATATTCAGTACTGCTTGATCTGGAGCTGTGTTATGTAAACAAGAGTTGGGATGAGTGAGACACAGTTAAAATTTAGTTTACTAAGAAAAAGATGAATTCCACAAGGTCTTGCTTACCTCTGAGTGATGTATTTATTCTTTTTGGGGGAAGGGGGGTGGGGGACTGAAATTTCTTTAGGAATCTGGGATTAATTGGGGCCATGTTGTAGCTGTTTTTTTCTCCCTGGGATGACTCTATTCTAGAAATTCCTCTATCCATAGTGATATGAAAACTATACATATCTTTGCAGGAGAGCCTGGGAAATACCTTGCTAAACTAGACCTTATTATTACCAGCAGTCATAGTGATTTTTAGTTTTCTTTCCTCTTACATTCAACTCCCATCTTTCTAGCTCTTACATTTTATTAAAAGTACAAACAGCATCTTACGTGCGAACCAGGAAGAAAAGTCAGATGCCAAGTGTTGCTAACCTGAAGTTTTTATTGATGGTCCACAAACTCAGGCTGTAGACCTGAAGACAGAATTTGTGTTGGCTAGCACTTCCAGAATAAGGTGTATATGCAGTGCTAGGGATTAAAGAAAGTGAAGGTTTTCTTTAAAGAAGAGTTCTGTTCTGCTACACTGCTCTTTTGGCTGGGCACATTACTTTTCCCAGATCTATGTGTTTTCCCTTCAGTTCCCTATTCCTTTTTTTTTTAAAAAAAATTAATTAATTTATTTTTAATGAACCACCCTGAAGTACAGTTACAGATTTGTAAACTTTCGAGCTTACATTTCAGTCATACAATGTTTGAGTACCCATCCCTCCACCAGTGCCCATCTCCACCACTAATGATCTCAGTATCCCTCCCACCACCCCTACCCCATTCCCCTACCCCACCCCACCTCTTTTGCACTCTCTCACTCCTTTTGGGTGTTGTGCTTTGCAATAGAGGTATTGAGTGGCCATCATTTGATCTATAGTCTACTTTCAGCATGCATCTCCCATCCCAAGTAGGCCCTCCCAGCATCCTTTACTTGGTGGTCCCTTCTCTATCTGAGCTGCCTTTCCCCCCAGCATGTGAGGCTGGCTTCCAAGCTGTGGAGTGATCCTGGTACTCATCTCTACTATTCTTGGGTGTAAGTCTCCCATTCTGTTACTTTATATTCCACAAATGAGTGCAGTCTTTCTATGTCTATTCCTCTCTTTCTGACAGTTCCCTATTATGTCGATTTAAGATTAGGCAGATGTCTTCACTTATGGGAGTTTTTTTTTTAATAGAATAGAATTATGATACTTGGCTTCAGTGATGAGTCTTATTCTTCTTCAGTGTTTAGGGATTACCTGGTAGTTTGCTTAGGTTTATCACCTTTTGACATCTGGGTGCAGTAGGAGGGTTGGAAATCCAAGCATGCTTGTGATTAGAGGAACCTTATTTATTTATTTTTTTAAAATTTTTATTAGTGAAACACCATGAGGTACAGTTGTAGACTTACAAATTTTTGTGATTGGGTTTCAGTTATACAATAATCAAGTACCCATCCCTCCACCAGTGCCCATTCTCCACCCCCACTAATCCCAGTATCCCTTCCACCTCCCCCATCCCCCCATCCCACCCTGCCTCTGTGGCAGGGCATTCCCTTTTGTTCTCTCCATTTGGGTGCTGTGGTTTGCAAAAGAGGCATTGAGTGGCAATCATGTTTGATCTATAGTCTACTCTCAGCATGCATCTCCCATCCTGGGCGGATCTTCCCAACACCCTTTATTTGGTGCTCCCTTCTCTATCTGAGCTGCCTTTTCTCCTAGAGTGTGCGGCTGGCCTCCAAGCCATGGAGTAAACCTCCTGGTATTTATCTCGGCTATTCTTGGGTGTTAGTCTCCTATTTTATTACTTTATGTTCCCCAGATGAATGCAATCTTTCTATGTCTGTCCCTCTCTTTCTGACTCATTTCGCTTAGCATGATACTTTCCATGTAGTACCGCTTGTATGTAAATTTCATGACTTCATCCTTTCTAACAGCTACATAGTACTCCATTGTGTAGATGTACCAAAGTTTCTTTAACCAGTCATCTCTTCTCGGGCACTCAGGTTTTTTTCATATTCTAGCTATTGTAAACAGTGCTGCAATGAAAAAACAAGTGCAGATGTTGCTTCAACTATACTGTTTTGCCTCTCCGGGGTATATTCTCAGGAATGGAATTGCTGGGTCAAATGGGAGCTCAGTTTCTAGTTTTTTGAGAATCGTCCATACTATTTTTCAAAAGGGCTGAACCAGTTGGCATTCCCACCAGCAGTGAAGGAGGGTCCCTTTCTCGCCACATCTGTGCCAGCACTGGTTGCTTTTGTTCTTTTGGATGTGGGCCAGTGTCTGTGGTGTGAAATGATATCTCATTGTTGTTTTGATCTGCATCTCCCTGATGATTAATGATGTAGAGCATTTTCTCATGTACCTTTTAGCCATTCAGATTTCTTCTTTGAGAAAGTTTCTGTTCATTTTGTTGCCCCATTTTAGATGGGGTTGGATGTTTTCTTCTTGTGGAGTTCAACCAGTACTTTGTATATCCTTGATATCAACCCCTTGTTGGATGTGTATTGGGCGAATATCCTTTCCCATTCTGTAGACTATTTTTGTATTTTGGTCACTGTTTCTTTGGAGGTGCAGAAGCTTCTTAGTTTAAGATAGTCCCATTTGTCTATCTCTGTTTTCACTTGCTTGGCCAGTGGCGTGACATCTTTGAAGATACCACTAGCTTCAATGTCATGGAGGGTTTTGCCAACTTTATCTTCAATGTACCTTATGGATTCTGGTCTGATGTTGAGGTCTTTAATCCATTTTGATCTTACTTTTGTACATGGTATTAGGCAGAGATCTGAGCCCAGTTTTTTGCATGTAGCCATCCAGTTTTGCCAGCACCATTTGCTAAAAAAGGCTTTCCTTACTCCACTTCACATTTCTTGCTCTGTTTTCAAAGATTAGATGATCATATGTTTGCGGGGAGATGTCAGTATATTCAACCCTGTTCCATTGGTCTGCATATCTGCCTTTGAGAGGAACCTTATTCTTAAACAAAGCTTGTTGAGTGTAGTAAGAAATGAAGCTGCTTTAGTTGCATGTTTTTTTAACCCTTTCCCATAAGTTTTAAGGTCTGTTTGAAAATATACAATCTGGTTATGAAAACATAGTTGTATACTCTTATTTCTTAATTTATTGTTTGCTTGCACATACGAAAGCAATATTCCTTTTTTTGTGGCTTATATTGCATTATGCATATTTTCTATTTTTTAAATTAAAGTTTTGTTTATCTTGGGGTCTTCCAAGTGGTGCCTGAGAGGCCTGGGGTGCCCTTCCGATAACTTTTCACTTGATGGACCAGCACACTACAGGGAATCACTGGGTCAGCCTGTTGGAGCTCAGGGCTCTCCAGGCCATGTTTAACAATGCTTGAGGGACTGTGTGGTGACAGGGACTGAACCAGGTGGACTGTGTGTGGGGCATGCATCTTTGTCCCTTTTTATCTCTTTGGCCCCTATTATGCATTTTTCTTTGCTTTTGGATTTTGGGTCACACCCAGTGATGCTCAGGGGTTTTTCCTGGCTCTGTACTCAGGAGTTCTGGCAGTGCTCAGGGGACTATATGGGATTCTGGGTATCAAACCCATGTTGGCTGCATGCAAGGCAAACACCCTATGTACTGTACTCTCGATCTGGCCCTCTATTACACAATTTTACTCAAATACTTAATGTACTCTTTGAGTATTTATGTCTTAATTATCATAAGAAGAAAATTTTATCCTCTAAGCTCATTTATCTAGATGCAGCATATTACTGGGATATAGCTTTCTTTGTTTGTTTAAGAAAAATACTTTTTGTTTGAAAGTTTTACGTTATTGTTTTGAAATAGTTTCAGACCAAGAGAAGAGTTGCAAAAATAGTATGAAGAGCAACCATAATGAGCTTTACACAGACTCACACATTTATTTTATTTTTTTTATTTTTGGACCATACCTGGCAGTCCCCAAGCTCTGCTTCCAGCTGTGTCAACACAGGGTTGCTCCTGGAGGAGCTGGGAATGGAACCCTGGCTTCTCACATGCCAAGCTTTTTCTGAATCTGTTGAGTTATGTCTCTGCCCCAGTTTCATGAAGGTTTACTATTTACTAATAATCTTCCTGTCTCTGGCTTATATATGTATCATTGCATTCGCAGCCACGTGGCATCTTATTATCTCATTCTTGCTTTGGGCAACCTGGCAGGCTACGAAATGTAACCTGCCCACATGGCAGAGTCTGGCAAACTCCCCGTGGTGTACCCAATATGCCATATACCAGTAACAATGATGGGTCTCATTCTCCTTACCCTGAAAGAGCCTTGAATGTGGCACTTTTTAGAATCTCAGGGCTAGGACGAAGGAGACGTTACTGGTGCCTGCTCGAGGCAATCGACGAACAACAGGATGATTGTGATCATGATTGTGCAGTGACAGATAGATTTTCCCCCCAACCATTTGAAAGTAGGATACACATAATGATGTTCTTTTACTTAAGTGTATATTTCCTAAATAGTCTCCTTTCAATACTGTGTAAACAAACACACAAAAAAGGAAGGGCAAAGGGATGGCAGGGGCCTATCTCTCCTGCTGCCCTCGTTCGGTAGTCTTAGGCCGTTTCCCCACTCCAGGGAGGTCGATGGCGATGGTCAGGCGAAGGAAAGAAACGAGGGCCAGGCTGTTCTTAGTAGCAATTTATTACATGGAAGAGATGTATGTCATGGAGGCCCCAGGATCTCTCAAGCATGTGCTCCTTTGTCCTCTCAGCTTCTGTTCTCAGCCCCATCTTCCCAGGTTCTCTGAGGCATGTGTCCCCCAGAGAGCCCTGAAATCTCCCTTATATAGATCATGGTACCTCTAAAGGTACATGTGATGTCATCAAAAGGAGTTATAGAAAGAACATTGAGGGGGCAAAGCATACATTGTTTCTTTACATCCACAGGCCAGTAATCTTGGCCTCATCTTTCACCAGCACTTGGATTTGCATACCAAAGATCAGTCTGTTAGAGCTTGGAATCTACATCTCAAAGACTAGCCTGCCTAGAGCCAGGCATCTACTTCCCCAAGATCAGGCCTGGCTAGCACCTGAGATCTGCATATCTAAGACCAGCTAGGTTTCTGTGAGATAAGGGAAGCTGCCTCTTACAATATACTGAAATTATTTACTGAAGGCAGATGAGGGGGAGAAAAGTTCAGTCTCATCCAAGCTAGTCAGGACACAAGGGAAAACTGCTTCTAGGACAGATTCTCATTTAGCAGATCAACCCACAGTAGAACAGAATTCCCTGGCTGTGTTTCTCCTCTCCTTGTCCGACCAACATATAAGCATACATAATATAAATCATTTTGTATGGACACAGTAAGAAATGGGCTGGAGCGATAGCACAGCGGTAGGGCGTTTGCCTTGCACGCAGCCGACATGGCCGACCTGAGTTCGATTCCTCCACCCCTCTCGGAGTGCCCGGCAAGCTACCGAGAGTATCTCGCCCACACGGCAGAGCCTGGCAAGCTACCTGTGATGTATTTGATATGCCAAACACAGTAACACGTTGTCACAATGGAGACGTTACTGGGCCCGCTCGAGAAAATCGATGAACAACGGGAGGACCGTGACCGAGACAGTAAGAAATACTTTAAGCTTATAGAATTGCTCTCCTAGGGCCATCTCGATCTCAGACTGCAGTGCCCAGGCCAGATAACTTTCCTATTCTTAGAAGCAGGATCCTAGTCTCGTTGTTACTTTTGGATCATGACAGCATTTGCATATGATCGAACTCTTAACCTATAGTTAAGAATCGTGGCACCTTGGCCTGGCCCATCTCAATGCCAGGGTAGCACATGACTTACCGGCTTGCCCTGGTTGCATCCAGTCCCACGTCGAGACCCTGCTTTTGAGGTGCTAGGAAGTGAGGGCAACTGAGGCTTAAGTTGAGAAAGCAGATGCCTAGGAGTGAATTATATTCAAAGCCAATAAAATCCTAAGTTATAAAGCATAATAATGTCTTCCTGTATCTATACAAAAAGGACATTGCATTAAAGTAAACTGCTCAAAAGACATAAGGAGAAGAGAAAGGCAATATTAACTTACAGTACAAGTTCGGTGTCCTAGAAGGATAAGACCTTACAAATTGGTTGGGGAAGAGAGCACAAAGAAGTAGTTACAGACAAACTAATGGGAATGACTCTGGAGCACTGTGATGGGTGCAACCTGATAAACCTGAGCTCCTTGTACTCCAACACAATACAACCATTGTATGGTGACCACATCCAGGAAATTAGTATTGATAAGGTAATGAATCTAGTTGATGGCTCATGTTCAAATTTTGTCAGTTCAAATATTGCTCTTAATTCCCTTTAGTTCAGGGTCTCACAATGACTTGAAAAATAATGACTTTTGTATCTTTTAATCTGCAACAGTTCTTTAGTGCTTCTTTCATTTCATGACTGATTGTTTTTGAAAAATGTTGTCACGATTTTTTCATAGACTTTTTTTTAGTGTAGGTTTTACTTATGTTTCCTCCTGATTATGTTCCAGTTATGCATCCTTAGTCAAGTCCTACATAAGTCATCATGTCCTTTGAGTATTGTGTCTGGAAATCTAGGATGGCTTCTGACGGACCCTTTACAGTGGTATTAATTTTGTTCCTTCACTTGAGGTATTATCTAATTTCACCACTGAACACTATTTTTTCTGTGCAACCAAAAGTTAGCCTCGTGTGGGGAAAAACCTTAAGACCATACCCTTCTCATCCCTCTTTGTCTCTCATATAGTTGATAGTTTCAATCTTCACCTTAACTGTGTGAAGAATTTTTCATGATGGTTGCAAAGTGGTCATCCCCTTCCTCTGCTTTCCCCTTCGTATTTATTAGTTGTCACATTATAAGGAAGAAGTGACTGCACTTCTATTCTTCCTCCCCTTTGCTTCTCCTCCCAGCATTCTCTTTTCTCATTGCACTTAGTCATTTGTCATCTTTCTATTGTCAATATGGCCTTATGGATTCCTGTTTATTCATTAAGCTAAATCATTACTGCCCTTCTTTGTTTTGATGTTCAGAATGCCCAAGATATTGCAGTTTAAGAATCTTTGTTTTGTGATTTCACTGGAATCGCTTCTCTGCCATCAGTGTATATGTTAGGACGAGGTTGGTATTTTCATTTGATCTTGATGCTCTAAGGTATACATGTAGTGCATTGTTTCTTATTTAACTTTTACTGAATGATGACGAATACTTGTGATGATAGTAATTTCCTGGAAAGTAATTATGAAGTGTTAAAACCTCAGTTCAGATCTTTATATTCAATTCTGTTAAGATTTCTTAAGCATCTTAAGATTCTTATTGACTGAGGTACTTGTAGATTAATAAGACCTTCTTTCTCTGATAATACTTTGTTGTTCAAAATAAAGTTACTACTCAAGCACTTGTAGATTAATAAGACCTTCTTTTTCTGACAATACTTTGTTGTTCAAAATAAAGTAACTGCTCAAGCTCCAAGAGAATATCAGAGACTTTGTCATGTTTGACTATGAAGTATCTTCCATTTTCCTGAGGGGTAATAAAGGACAAAGTCTTTACATTTGATCGTCAGCTTTTCACTTCCATTCTACTCCTGGTGTCTGAGTTCTCCTTTTCTGTGTTCAGATCTTCTTCAGCTCTGCTGAAGTCAAGGGGCTTTGGAAGTAGGTCATAACCCCTGTGTGTCTGTGCACCAAGTTGCAGGGCCACTGTGTGGAAGTGTGAAGTCATTGCACCATATGGTAACGGGCGCAGGCATTTTGAAGGGTCTTTCTGTGTTTTCTCCTAAGTTGTCTTACTCCTGTCAGGAAAAAAGAAAGGGGACTTCAAATGGAGATTGATGATGGGAAAGTCAATTCATTTCCCCAAGGAGCATCTACTTCCCTTATATTTAAGGCTCATTGAATGCAGCTTTCAGTGGGAAACTGTCTTTCTAGGTCCCTAGAGAAAGTCCTGGGCCAGTTCCATTTCCAGTTGGGGGATTAGATTTTTGCCTATTCCAGTCTAGCTGGTGTGGAGAATATATTACCCCTAGGAGCTGTTTTAAACTGAGTAGTGTGGGTTGTAGATTATGTGTTCTGTTAAAGCAAACATTGGACATAAATAGATTTTTTATTGGAAATAATATCTTTCAGGTCACTTTGGAACTTCTTGGGTGAAGCACTACTGTACTTATCAACGGGATTCCAAACAAATCACTATGATACCTTTTGACCAAAAGTCAGGAGGAAAGGGGGTGAGTTTATTTTAAAATATCATGTTTGATTTGCTTGGCTAATATTACAGTTAATAATTATGCTGCATATATAAAATAGTACTTGTTTCACTGTCATTTTCTTTTTTTCTTCCTTTGGTTGTGTGTGTGTGTGTGTGTGTGTGTGTGTGTGTTAATCTCTTCAGCTTAAAAAAACATTTTATACAGTGGTTCTAATGGTATTTCCAAAAGTAACTTAGAATTTCATTAAGAAAACTTGGTAACATTTCATATCTCTTATACTTGTGTCAGATGTTAGATTGCTAGACATAGATGCTAGAGGTAGTGACATCATCCTGTGAAACTGATTGCCATTTTCAACTACTAGTGCACTTCAGTTAGTGCCATGTTCCAGTTCACTTGTGCCATATACTCACTTCTCCCCCCTTCCCTTCCCTGTGCTGCTGTTGTTAATTCGATGACTAGAGATCTCACATGCTCTGTTGGGCTGGATGTGGGCCATGCATCTGATTGTGTTCTTTAAGAACCGAGACACGTTAAAGTATATATATTTTTTTGTAAAGTATATGTTTAAACATGTACTAAATGGTACTAGGCACAGCAACAACCCACACTAGAGAAATTAAAGGGATCTGACCTGGTGAAGAAGGTCAGCAAAGCCTTTTTTTGTGCTGAGATTTGAAGGATTCATGGGAGATAAATCCAGGAAATCTGTCTTAAGGGGGGATAGACAGTGGCATTGCCAGTCTCATTGCTTACTGTGCTTACGTACAATTGATGGCACAATGTTCAGTGCATGTGGATGGTACCAAAGAATAGAATTCATGACCACAGGCTTGCAAAACAGGTGCTTTTAGCTATAGATCCATCCCCAGGCCTCAAAACTTAATGAGGTTTTCAAACAGTATCAGTCAACGCTTCTGTGGGTTTGGATTTCAGCAAGCACTTGAATCTCTGGCTTGGGTTCCTTAAATGGTTCTAGTGATAATTTGGTGCAAGCTGGAGCAATCAGGTCTGAAGCAGCACAGTGCTGGACAGACACTGTCTTTGTCCTGTCCCCTTCTCTCTGCTCTGCTTTCCCTGTGCTGTCTCAGGGTATGTGTGTCTGGTTTTTCTCTCTAGCCAGGTTTGGCTTCCCCATAGCATGTGACCTCAGGACTGCTCAAAGTTTCAAGGGTGAAGATTCCAGATAGTGCTTTGCTGACCTTAGGAGTCATGCAGATGTTTGCCATTCCTGTTGGTTGAGATAGTTACAACCCCCTGGCCCCCCCCTCCTGAAATACACTTTGTTTCAGTGGAGATCGTCCAGACCCTGCATCTCCATGGGAGCACTGTCGGATTTACACTATGTTGAAGAGTGCAGGAGGAGATGTTCTTGGACCGAGGGGAGTGCTTTCCTCTGAACTGGGTCTCTGCATCTGAGTACGCTCCTTTCTTCACTGATCTGTTGTTTCTTCTGGATGCTCTCAGTATCTCCTCTCTACAACCCTACTTTGTTATTCTACATTTCATTATGAAGGTTTTAGGTGTAATTCCACCTGTTTCCATGCCCCACTCACATTTTATTCTTGGGAATAGAATTTTGTGTCTTTTGAGAACTTTGGTGAATTCTTCCTAATTATGATTTTCATTTTCATACCCTTTCCATGTGTTTTACTTGCCCCTTCTGGAATTAATATCTTGAATAACTATGGAAATGTTTTAATAAAATAATTTTTCATGTTTGTGTATCTTTGGACCCTTTCTGAACACTTTCTTTGGTTCTGTTTTTAGTTTATTTATTTTCTTTTGATTTTGGCTTTTTGGGTCACACCAGTGATGCTCAGGGGTTACTCCTGGTTCTGCACTTAGGAATTAACTCCTTGCGGTGGTTGGGGGACTCTATGGGATGCTGGGGATTGAACTCAGGTTGGCCACATGCAAAGCAAATGCCCTACCTGCTGTACTATTGCTCCGGCCCCACTAGCTTTAGTTTAAATCATTTTTTAGCTGTGTAGTCTGTTGGCAGAATAGTCCTCTGTGCAATGTGTTGGGTTAGTAGTGTAGAGGCCAAGAGCTCTGCCTCTGAAAGTGGAGCCTAAGTGATGTTAGATGCTGTTATTATCACTGTTGATGCCTCAGCTGTGTGCCCCTCTTGCTCTCTGCCATCTCATTTCCAGTCCCGCCTCCCCCGCACCCCACCTCCCTGGCCACAACATAGGAGTTTATCAATATCTTTCTTCCTTCCTGCATCAGAGTTAAAAAAAAATATCCAAAACCTGTTAATGTGTGTTGTCAGGATGGAATAATCTCAGTAAAACAGAAGTGGTAAATACTGAGAGATTGCTGTTAGAAGGAATATCAGAGAACTCTATTACTAGGTATCTCCTAAGTATTTATGGTGTTCCCCAATATTCTTAAGGTGGAAGTAGCATTAAGTATACCTTCTCTGTTATTAAACTCAATCTAAGAGTAATCCTGTTGTTTAATCTTTATAGAAACTAGCTTCATTGAATGATTCTCTCGCAATCTTTATTTGTGACTTTTAATCTTATGCTTCCTTAAACCTTAAATGAAAGACTCTCATGTTTTTTATCTTTTTTCTTACCACACTGGAAAGGGGAGGGCAAAGATGAATTATGGTGGTTATTTGGGACTTCTAAGATTAAAATGAGATAATAGTGATGGGTTGTTAATTTTATGTAAATTGGACAAGAGCCTTATACCTAATGAATGCCATTGTAAAAGCTTGATATAATGATTCAGTTTCCTATGAATTATTCTTAGAGTTTATATTTAAGCCTTTTTATTGTTCTATATTATTTATATTTGATTCAACTTTTCTTCATTAGAAAGGAGAAAATTATTTAAGGGTCAGAGATAAAATGATCTCTTTGGTTTCTGGTTTACTATATTATAAACCACAATGCCCAAAATAAAATTATGTATATGTGTATATGGGGCTGGAACGATAGCGTAGTGGGTAGGGCATTTTGCCTTGCACTCGGCCAACATGGTCAACTGGAGTTTGATTCCTCCGCCCCTCTTGGAGAGTCCAGCAAGCTACCTAGAGTATTTCGCCTGCACAGCAAGTTACCCTGGACGTATTCGATATGCCAAACACAATAACAACAAGTCTCACAATGTTACTAGTGCCTGCTCGAACAAATCGATGAACAGTGGGAGGACAGTGATAGGACAGGGGCAGTGACAGTGACATATGTGTATATATGTGTTTGTTTTATATATATTGTTATATAAACAGACCCTATATATGAGTATATATTATAAAATATATAAACATATAATAATAACAAATACATATATATAATAAACTTTATTTTGGACACTGTTTTACAATATAGTTAATGGTAGGGCTTCAAGCATAACAGACTTTAGCACGACATCTTTCCTCAGAGCTTCCTCAGAGTGTCCACTTCCCTCCTTCTTTCCATCCTCTTCTTCTGTTTTCCCTCTCCTAAGGTAAGCTTCTTCCTGCAAAACAGTTCTCAGTTTCTCTTGCCTTTGGGCATTTTTATACCTTGATGTTGTTTATTTATGGTCATTTATCATTTCTTATGACCGATTAGTAATCTGTTGTGTGTATGTATTATAGTTTTTTTACCATTCATCTGTACTTGGACACTTGGATTGTCTCGTGTTTTTGCTCTTATGAATTATGCTGCAGTGAATATAGGAATGCAGGTATCTTTTCTGCATAGAGTTTTTGGGCCCTTGGGGTAGATGCCAAAAAGTGAATTGCTGAGTCATATGGAAGTTCAATTCCTAGTTTTTTGAGAGGTTTCCACTTTCCCTAAAAGGTTAGACAAGTTGTCATTCTCACCAGTGGTGAACAAGGGTCCCTTTTGCCCCACATCCACTCTATCCCAGGCATTTTTGTTCTTTGCGATATTGAGCCTATATTACTAATGAGTTAGTCTTCTTCCCCTTACACACCCAAGTGTGTTTGTAATGAAGAATTTCTCTGTATCTGACCCTCCAACATGCAGCATCTCTGCTGGAGGTCGGCAGCAGCTCAGCGCTGACTTGAGCACTTCCCTGACTTGAAGCCCTTCATTATTTTCCTGCTGCTCTCGGGAGACACATGACAACCCGCAAGATCTTTTCCTCATTTCCCTTACTGCACCCAACTCTTTTTGTTTGTTTGTTGTCTGAAGTCACTGTGATATTACAGTTAAAAATTTTCAAACAGGCTGGAGAATATATAGCAAAGCAGGTAGGGCGTTTGCCTTGCATGCAGCAGACCCGGGTTTGATTCCCAGCATCCCATATGGTCTCCTGAGCACTGCCAGGAGTAACTCCTGAGTGAAGAGCCAGAAGTAACCCCTGTGCATTGCTGGTTATGACCCAAAAAGCAAAAAAATTTTTTTTTCAAACATATAGTGTTCTAACACCCATCCCTTTACCAGTGTACATTGCCCAGCACCAATGTCCCCAGTTTCCCTCCCTCCCCTGCTCCCCACCCTGGCATGCCCAAACCTTTCTTATTCCACTTCCTACTCTATATGGGATTCAGGTACACCTGCTTTCTTTCAGTTCTTCCAGAATTCTGTGGGTCTTGATCATAGAGGCCTGTACACATGATTTCTATTCCTCTTCAAGACAACTTTCCTGGATTTATCTCCCATGACTCCTTCAGTTCTCAGCACAAGACAGACTTTGCTGGCCTTCTTCACCAAGTCAGATCCCTTTAGTTTCTCTAGTGTGTGTTGCTACTGTGCCTAGTACCATTTAGTACATGTTTAAACATATACATGTCTCGGTTCTTAAAGAACATAATTTAGACACTTGATAGCATAAGGCTCTTGCCAGAGACAGTTCAGGATCAATTTTCACCACTTGTGGTCATGAATACTTGCCTGAGAAGGAAATGGTCTCTTGTGTCAATCTGCCATTTTACCCCGCAGAAGAGAAATACCCATTTACTGGCCTTATCCTGACAGTCTGCCTGTCCCCAATAGGGAGAAGATGAATCAGTCACTCTCAAGTCCTGCACACGGAGGAAAACAGATTCTATTGAGAAGAGATTTTGCTTTGATGTAGAAGCAGTGGACAGGTGAGTAACTGTTTCACTTTTCTTAGGATATAGACATTATGGAATTTGGACTCTCTATCTTTTCCATTCAGCCAGGACTTCTTATTCCTTGTCCTTTTCTCAGTTTTATGCCTCTAGCAGTATTCAGTTTGGATTAGACCTCTGGCCTCTTGCTGAAAGGATCACTACAGTCTTCTCTCTCTTTGGTGTAGAACTAATCCACTGGTTTGTTTTCTTTCCTTTTGTTGTTTTCTTTGCTTTGATTTCTGAGAAGGGTATTATGTCACAGAAGGTTAAGTAGAAGTTTAAAAAACACAAATTTTCTTGCGGGGGATGGTTTCTTAGCTAGCTATTTTTGTCTTTAATTAAATTTTTGTTTTTAGTTAAGGATTTAAAAAGAATTGGGTAAAGATAAAGATGGAAGAAATTTTCCACAACTAAAAAAATAAATCCTTTAGGTAGAACACTCTACCTAATTCAGTGTGTGTGAGCACTCAGAAGAGACAGCCTTGCTATTTAGAAATACTTGCTAAATCACAGTTTTTGAAGAGTGAAAGCTGTGTGTGGCATTTCTTTAGAGTTGTTGAGTCTCATTAAGTTGTACTGATTGATGGTGTTAAGCCAGACTGACAGCATTTCAGTTCTTTGCGATACTGCACTTAGCAACAAGTTAAGTTTTTTTCTAATTGTAAGCATATTTGACCTGTCTTTTCAAGATCAGCAGTATTACCTGAATAATCTTTAATCTCAGCATGACAGAAGGTAAATGCCATTTCGTTTCTCCCCTTCTTCTTCTTCTTTCTTTTTTTCCAATCAGAGAGGCAGAGTGCCACCTGGGACTCACTTCCCCAGTGTTTACAGGTTTGGAATGTCTTGTCAAGCCCTGTCTCTCTGCACTGTGGCTGCTGGAGGCTGAGCGCTCTCATAGAGACCAAGCTTGCCCTTTAACCTAACATTCATGGAAGCTAACCACATCTGTTTAATAGTTTAATCCTTATACCTTTGGCTTTCAATTTAGGGTATAAACTGGGTCTAACTTTTTACTTTCCTGCTTTAATGTTTTGTGACTTTGAGTGAATTAATCTCTTGAGAGGTCTGTATTTGCTTATTTTGAAATATGAAGATAATAGTTCCTATGGTTGTAAGGATTAGAGGAGAGAATGAATGTAAAATGCCAGGCACACTAGCAATCAATAAATGTTCAACAAATATTAGCTGTTACCGTTAATTAATTTTTCTTGAATGCTTATTAGACTTGATATTTGTAAAGAAGAAAAGTACTCCACTTTTGTACCAAGTTTGGAGATGTAATAGTCTTGCATGGGTAGTGGGGAGAGGAGAAGTTGAATTGGTTGGCAGAGAAGAACGGCCAATACTCTGCTTCAAACTGGACTTGACTATTCTTGGTCCAACACAAATTCTCAATCCAAATGTTTTAATCATTTGTAGGTATCACTCTTCTCTGCACTAAGTATGGGATTTAAGGAAATTCTTACTGTTGGCAGGTGAAAGAAGTTCAGAAGATTGTGTGGAAGCAGAACCAGTTGTTTGATGCGGGTCAGATATGTGTTTGTGTGGCGCCATAGGAATGGGCATGCCTGTGAATGGGCATGCCTGTGAATGGGCATACCTCAGTGAATGGGCATGCCTCAGTGAATGGGCATGTCTCAGTGACTGAATGGGCATGCCTCTCATTGCTGCTCTTGGTGAGACTGCAAACAAGCTAAGAGATACTTCCTGAATCCGTATCGTGTTCTGTGTTTTCTTCTTAGAAGTGACCCCTAAGGTTCTTGAGAGTTGTTTTTGAGGCAGCTGAAATTCACTGTGTGTCGTCTTCTTACTTTTACCCTTGCCAACATTTTCTAGCACCTCTTTTTATGAGGTTCATAGAAATTTTTCTTGTTTCAAAAGCTGAGAGTATTATATCACATCAAGCATAATGATGGGGTTTGGGAAGTTGGTTTCTGCCAAGTTTCTCTCCGATTCTCAGTTTGGCATGTTAGGGGTTTCGATTATGGTTCAAAAAAAGGCTGCTAGCTCTCCTAATCAGCTGCTGAATAGATAATTCAAATGTACTATTTACATTTTTTCACTGTATATTGTGGTATTTTTTAGCATGTTGGTATCATTTGGTTAGGAAAAGCCTGCCCTTATAGGGCTAACTGACATTTTTTCTTAGAAAAAAACAAAAACTCAGCCTGGAATGCTGCCACTGCTCACATGAACCAGTTGAGAGCCATGCTTTCTCCATTTGGTCAGTGTACCCCAGAACTCAGTGTCTATTTAATCACCTGAGCCTCTGGACCTCTAAGGAATCAGTCCTAGAAGCTTAGAGCCACCTGAAATGATTCCAACTGGCCAATAAACCATTTATCCTGACCTACCTTATTTTTTTCATGGAAACTCTTAAGAGAGTCTGTAACCTCGAGTCTCTCCTCATTTCTGTCACTTCTGCCTCCCTAGAACACTGATTTGTTCTGGATCACTCTGAGGTGATGTGCTGTTTGCACTGTTTCTAGGCTCTTTGAATATATAAGGTTTTGTTTGCTTGAGCCTTTCATGAGTCTCTTTTTGTCTTACTGAGGGAGAGCTGTTGTGACTCTTTTACTCAGTAGTGAGCAGGAAAGCAAACTCAGGATTTTGGAATTTAGGTGTAGAATTCTTGAGCTTTGTGGGGTCAAAGATCCTTTTACTAGAGACTCTTCCATAAACATTTTGAGAAGTGTTTTGGGGTCACCAAGGCAGTGTTCAGGGCTTACTGTGCTCAGAGGTCACTCTTGGCAGGGCATGGGGATCTGTGTGGTACTGCATGCAAGACAAGTCAACTGCAAACAAGACAAGTGCCTTACCCCTATACTATCTTTCTGACCAATTTTTTCACATTTCAGATTCTTATTTCGAAGATTTTCCTTTTATTTCTTCAAACTATGACAGTAGCCTTCTTTATTGGTTGCCACATCATTTCAAATGCTTCATTTCACCTATTTCTTTTCTCTGGTGTTTTCTTTCTTGTTTTTGACTTGTGGGAGTGGCCAGCTATCCTGCTGTGCTCTGGCCCTGCTGTGCTGGTGAATACTTAGATGAGTGGGCAGTGGTCAGGGGCCTGCAGGGCCATGTTCATTGGTAATATTGGTGACCTGAATGGAGTTCTTACATGTAAGGCATGAGCTTTAGCTCTTACATTCTCTCCAGCTCAACCTTCCTTCCCCACCCCCTACCCTTTCTTCAAAATTAGATTTGGGGTGGGCTCAGACCTGAGAAACTACTAACCCCCTGGAGTATTCTGAACAAATATTTCAAGACAATAATTATCTCTTCATGCCTTTGGCTTTTCCTTCAAGAGAGTTTTATTATTCTCAACATGAAAATTCCTGTTCCTATTGTCCAAAACCTCCAAATTACTTACGTCAAGGGGGTCATACCCATCAGATTGATGTTATGTTCTTTGAATTTTCATTTTGCCTTTTATTTTTTCTAAAAAACCAAACCAAAACATTAGTTTTAGGACTTGTAATTATTACAGGGCATTGACAGGCATGCTACAAAGAAAAGTGTTTCCTCCTTTCCTAGAAGGTACTTGTTTCAGGCTGAATTACAAAACTTGTGTGTTGAAAGGGCTGGAGCGATAGCACAGCGGGTAGGGAGTTTGCTTTGCACACAGCCAACATGGTCGACCTGAGTTCTATTCCTCTGCCCCTCTCAAAGAGCCCGGCAAGCTACCGAGAGTATCTCTCCTGCACGGCAAAGCCTGGCAAGCTACCTGTGATGTATTCGATATGCCAAACACAGTAACAAGTTTCACAATATTACTGGGCCTGCTCGAGTAAATCGATGCAAATCGATGAACAACGGGAGGACAGTGACAGTGACAGTGTGTTGAAATTCTAATCATTCATTTTTGAAAATGTTTGAAGTAATTGAAATAGAAGTGTATTACAGAGGTAATAGAGGTAAAGTGAGATGGTTAGGGTGGTCTAATCTAATATGTGTGGTGCCTTTATGGAAAGGAATGATCTGGACTCAGAGACAGACACACACATTGGGAGACTGCTGTGTGAGCATGAAAGGTCATCAGGGTCTGGCCCTCAGGTAGTACCGGCTGGCCACTAGAAGGCAGGAGAGAACCAGCTTCTCTTTCATATACCTCAGTGGGACTTACCCTGTCAATCTTGCTGCTGAACTTTGAACCTCTAAGCCTGTGCAATGCAATTCTGTCCTTTAAGCTGTGGTACTTTATTATAGTAGCTCCAGCAAATGAATGTAGCACCAATCAGGATGGCACTGACACTCCTACTGTTCCCCAGGAAACATTTTTGATGGATGCCCCAACACATATTCTGTGATATTTCCATTGATAAAAGCCCCAAGTCACTCAAATCAGCCCCTTCACAAAATTCCTCTTTGTTATTTTAAATACTATTTTGGTGACCTAAGATTTCATGAGGTTTTTATGATATCATCTTTCCTTAGAGCGTATTTGTGAAGTATTCTTTACTGCCTTTTTAAAGCACAGACCTCTTGAAGTTTCTTATTTTTTCATGGCTTATGGAATAAAGTCTAGATTTGGAATTTTTAAAAAATTTTTGTCTTTAAGGTGTTTCAGCTCTTAGGGAGTTTGGTGTGAACTCCTTCCGTGTAAAGGGGGCTTGATCTCAAAGGAGTCTTTAGTGGTAGTGATAAGTGAATTGCTAACATTTGTCTTCACTCATTTTGAATAATTATCTCAACCCTGCAGTGTCTTATGGAAATTAATGAGCAAATATAGAAAAAACATTTGTTTAAGCTAAAAAAAATCATGGGGGTAGTCATCTGCCAACATCCCTGAATTTGTTTATTTTTAAGAAATTTCTCACAGATGTAAGTGACACATGGATATTTTCTCCCAAATGTTTTCCAAAAGGGGACCACTAAAACATATGGAAAATAATAAAAACAGAAAGCTTCTTTTCTGATGCACTGAATCAGTGTAGTCTCTTGAGGAACAGTGTTTATGCTTGTGGAAAGGAAGTGATTAGAATGCT